TCACAAAAAATACTTGGCAGGAGGACACTTTAGCCCTAGGAGGTTAATTCTTATCTTATCACCTGTCTAGTAAGATCCAGCTCAGGATTACTAGGGCTTCAGGGGGACCTAATGGCAACCTCCCAGTAACTATGGGGAGATTTAAAAAAAAGCCTGCAGCAGCGTGCTTCAGTGGTTCATGTTGGGAGTGTAAGAGACAACAGGTGCAAGAGGTTCAGAGTGGTTATAAGGAAAAACTTTTTCACCTTGAGGGTAGGCCAGTGTCGGAACAGGTTGCTTAGAGAGATTGTGCAGTCTCCAACCTTGGAGATTTTTCAGGAATAAAACCCTGAGTAACCTTGTCTGATCTCATAACTGACCCTACGTTGGGCAGGAGGGTAGAGCAGAGACCTTCTGAGGTCACTTCCAACCTGAATTATCCTGTGATCCTAGGAATACACCATTCATAAGTGGTTTGTGATAAAATATAATGATGGTAGTGAGTAATCATGAATAGAAAGAGACTTGCTGAAAAATAAGGTTTTACCACTTCTGTTCCCCATAGATTCTGTTACAACATCCATCTATTTGTGTAGTTCTCTCAACTAAGCTAGAAAGGGATTTCTGGCTAGAACTCTTCTTGTCTGTAGAAGAGTTATTTGATGGAAAGGTAGTTATTAATAACAGTGGAAGGGAGGGACAATCTTGTTAGGTGCTTACTGCATTTGTTAGCACCTATTACAGGAGGAATTGGGAATTCTTAAGTAAGTCTTGAAGCATATAGAATAGTTGCAAGCCTTTGACAGATGAGAAAATTAAAGTGTTTGAAATAGTGTTATTGGTATGGATATATTATCTGTCAGAGTTTCTGCCTTGGAACACTAGTAGCTATAGTTCTGGGCCAAAGATCAGATGAAAACTTAATTCCATTTCAGGTATATCCAATCACAAACTCTAGACTTATTGCAGAACTTTTTGAAAATTGAGGATTTGGACATAGAGGAAACTAATTACCTTTATTTTATCTCCTTGATGTTTATCTTGTTGCTTAGTTGTAACGGTGGCGTAGCCAGAACTTGCTGGCTGGCAAGTAGTTTTGCAGACCTTGCACTGTTCCTGTGATAGGAATGCAGCAGGCAGTTCATTTTGTTAGGTAGAGCTCCTAACTCATCCTCTCTTCTTCGGTCTTTCCAATTGCCATGTGTCATTGCTATTTTCTTTCAAATCAAAACAGGAATCTTTATTGCTAGTTAAACTGTTGTATTTTGTGAATTTAAAATTTTGAGGATATAATCTGTCCTCATAGCTATATTTATTATTGTAAATAACTTTTTTGAAACAGGTGCTTTTGGTTTGGAGAAAGTTAAACAAATGTTGAGCTTGATTGGGCTTGCGTGTTGAATGAAAGTCTTGCTTTAAATTTGTCCTGTTGAGGCAGCAGGAGAAAGCCGTTCTTTGTATTTGTGTATGGTTTTCTTTTTTTTTTTTTAAATGGGAATGTCAATAAACTTTTTAAACTTTTTTTTTTTTTTTTTAATGGAAATAGCATATGAAACATTATCAGATGAGAATAAACGAAGAGAATATGATCAGTTTGGCCGTCATGGAGGACAAGGAAATAATGGAAGCCCGTTCCATCAGTCATTTAATTTCAACTTTGATGATCTATTCAAAGACTTTGACCTCTTTAGTCAAAACTCACGGTCAAAAAAGCACTTTGAAAATCACTTCCGAAGTCATCGGGAAGCTCACAATCGGCAAAGACGTTCTTTCCAGGAGTTCTCCTTTGGGGGTGGACTGTTTGATGATGTGTTTGAAAATATGGAAAAAATGTTTTCGTTTAGTGACTTTGAAAATGCACACCGACATGCAGTGCGAACTGATACCAGGTTTCATGGATCCAGCAAGCACTGTAGGACTGTCACTCAGAGACGAGGAAACATGGTTACCACGTATACAGACTGTTCTGGACAGTAATGTTTCCTTTCTTTCATCTTTTTTCTTCTTTCAACAACTTCATAATCTTTCTTGGTTTTGTGCTAACATGGAAAATAAATCTTTGAACTGTTTGTTTTAAAAAACACTTAACTGCTATGAAGAAATTGTAGATGAAACTAACCTTCAGAATAGAAACAACATGCATTCAGGAAGTAAGTGTCTTGGTAACTAATTAAAATGGGAGAGAAATAAACTCATGTGACAGAAACAAAAAAGTATTTCAGCTAGTAAACACTTTGCCTAAATTTGAACTTCAAAACAAGATATATATTTTTAATTTCAGAAATGTAATATAATTTTTTTGTATATGCCAATTCAGGACTGTTTGAGTTACTGGTGTATGGACTACAGCAGAGGAGATACTTTAATTTTGAAACACTGCTTTTTTTTTTTTATCACGTCTTTCCAAGTTTTCACTTGTAGTTTTTACCTGATACAGAGTTATTGTGCAAATTAGTTAATTTACACAAAATAGCAGCAGAAATTTGACTTACCTAGGTCTTTGTTACTCTGCCCAGCATTGCAAATGTATTAATAAAAAAAAAACTTTTTGAAGCAGGAGTATAACAAGAGGGAATATGTTAAGATTTTGCTTCACCTAGGAGAGTGATGGAGGAATTACTTTTATTTCCAAATAGCCTTTCATTGGTCTGAAAAGATGTTAGGATTTGAATAACCCTCAATTTATTTAAGGGCTATTCATGTGTGTAAGTTTGTATACACACAAAGTCTATTTTTTTCTTCCAAAATACAAATATCTTTTTAATATACTGAAAATACTCTTGTTTTACACTTGTTATATTACCATGTGTGCAATGTAGTTTCTGTTGCTCAGTTTATTGAACTTAAATACTCCTTTGTGCTCTTGTGAACTTAAACTAGATAAGCTTGCCTATAGATTCCTAGTGTTTCTGGAAGGGTCTAAATAAAAGACAGATTGTATTTAGATTGACAGCTTTATTACCTGG